ATTAATGACAGGAATGTAAAGTCCAGCATCTGGTGCATAAAAGGCACTCATTTCAGAAAAAATAAAAGTTTCATTTAAAGCAAATCTCATGCTTTTCCTGGATTTAGGTAAAATTGAGAATAATGGGGATATTTTCCTCATAGGTATGCTGAAATGTATATCTACTCGGTCACCTAGTACAACACATAAATATATAAATCAATAAAGCTTTCAGAAATACATCATTTGGGTCTGGAGCAAAGGAAATGACAATTTTTCCTGCTGAATGGTTTTTCACTCAATGTTAAAGTCGATCACTTAATCTCGGAAAATCCAGAAAATTCAACAGCTAAAGCTCTCACCTACACCCTAATTCAGTTCTTTGGGGTCTGTAAGGCTCTTTGTGTACTCTGCAATCTGTTCCACCTGCACCTTAATAGGTGGTCAAGTCATAGCTGAGTCCCAAAACTTCACTTCGGAATGTTCTGGCCTTTTAGGCTCAAAAAGAAAGTGTTTAGATTTAATGGTTTTATGGCCCATCAAATCCTGTGTGGTAGCCTCTAATTGCATCCAGGGGCAGGAATTTCTTTTAAAATCTTTTTTTTTTTTTTTTTGACAGTTTACTAAGAATTTGCTAATATGCTGAGCATTCCTGGAACGCGTTAGGTGGGTTTTAATTTTTCTCTATTTGAGGTCCCGGCACTCCCTCGTGTGGCGCTTGCGCACATAACAGTCAGAAGCAAACGGATGAATTAACACTTAATCTCTTCTCTTTCCTCTTGATTCCTGTTTAAATGAAGCAAAAGAGCTCATGTAGTTCCATGGAGGCTGAAATAAAATTTCACTACAGCCACAGTGCCTAACACCAGAGAGATTGCCATAATAATGTCCTAAAAGCCTCTGTGGTATAATAAGCATTTTGTTTGTTCTTTGAGAAGTCAGCGATGCTTTACTTCTATTGCGAGATGGAAATTTCACCTAAGGATGCTACCTGCTTTATATGGCACTGGGGTTCATGCTTATCATTGATATTTCCTTCACCACGCTGAGTATTTGTAGACATGATTCTGTAGTCATCCCTGAAGCTCATAAGAATAAAACATAAATAAAAAAACAATCAAATAGAGTTTCAAATGCATATGCCATTATAAGTAAAGGCATTTATATGGCTCCATAGCTATTATAACAGTTGTCAATTATTAAAATGTTAACTAAATCATCTAGTACAATAAATGTCTTCTTAGTCATAACATAGTACATGGCAAACTGCTCTCCACTCAGTGTTTCTCAGTTAGTTGCCTTCCATCTTTTTTTTTTTTTTTTAAGATTTTATTTATTCATTCTTGCAAGAGAGAGAGAGCATGAGCGGGGAGGAGAAACAAAGGGAGACACAGACTCCCTGCTGAGCAGGGAGCCTGATGTGGGGCTCGATCCCAAGACCCTGGGATCATGACCTGAGCCAAAGGCAGATGCTTAACCGACTGAGCCACCCAGGACCCCAGTTTCCTTCCATCCTAAAAGACTTTTAGGAGTTGTTTTTATTTTATTTTATTTTTTTAAGATTCATTTATTTTAGAGAAAAAGAGAGCGCAAGTGGGGGGAGGGGCAATAGGGGAGGGAGAGAGAATCTCAAGCAGACTCCCTGCTGAGCACAGAGCCCAACATGGGGCTCGATGGGGGGCTCAATCCCATGACCCCGAGATCATGAACTGATCTGAAACCAAGAGTCAGATGCTTAACCGACTAAGCCACCCAGGTGTCCTTTTAGGAGTTTTAATTTTTGTTTAAAATTCAAGCCCCTTTATTTATGCTCCTGAATTTTGCTCAAGGCCCTTATTTCCTAATGAGTTTCATGTTCTGTGGCTTATTCCATCCTCTCAAAACTAAAGGGATAAAACTATAAAAACATAGAATGTTTGCAGTTAATATTCCAAGACTATAACATAGAATTTGCCTTAGGGTTCTTGCTGCAGTTAATGATACTTGGAAATACAAATCACTGACCAGGACCTTATAAGCAGCATTGCACAAGTGATTAATAACCCAGAACAAGGTATTTATCTTCTGCAAGCCTCAGTTTCCACAAGCAAGGAGTTGGAAAAAGATCCTTAGGGCTTTGGATTCACGTTTTAAGATGGGTAAGACATAGATGAGTTAATAAATGTAAATTGCCTGACACGCATTGATTGCCAAATAAATGTTGGCTATCATCATTTTTCATGAAAGTTAATTTGTGTGGCATAAACATCTATTTGTGTTTTCAGCAAGATCCAGAAATAAAAATGTCTTCTTGTTTTCCTCTATCCCAAGCATGCAGCTATGAGAAATGAAAATCAAAGGCATACAAATGTTCATTCCAGCATCTACACTCTCCAGGACTGGCATGGAAGGCAGGGGGTAGAGGAAAGGGGTGGGATCTCAGAAGGGCAGTTGTCTACCTTGAATGGTTTCTCTATTTAATGGAATCTTAAATGGGGACAAAATCATTTATTTATACCCTGAAAAAAAATGGTAAAGATCATCTTTCTGTTGGAAATTTTCTGGTTTTGGTTTCCAACGTTTTCTCATTGTGGAGATTTGGTCTTTGTTCTTGCCTTTGTTAGCAGAACTCTTTCTTTAAAGAACTGTCCTGTCTGTCCTGCCGAATCCCAGCATGCAACAGGAGTAGCTCTGTGCTCAGTGACACACCTAGCTTCTCTGAGAGCCCTGGGAACAATCCTGACCTCCTTAGGGCATGGTAAGTAAACCGCTGATCTTGCTCAAGCAGCTGACTTTATCAGTGAGGAAACGTAATCCTCCTAGAGAGTGAAAATGACCTGCCACAGAAGTGAAACTAGTTAGTGGTGAATTTCCACATAAATCAGGTGTCCCAGCCTGACAGCCCAGGGGACACTTGTAGCCCACAAAAGTATTTGCTTTGGCCCACACATTGTTGCCCCAAACAGTGTTTTAGAGAATTTTTGATTTATTTGCCAACATTTAAAAACCAGGAGATTACACATAAAAATCAAGGTTTCTGGCTTCTCTTGAAATGTTGGAAGATTTGGCAACCCCACATCCTCATTCCCTCGGGGCCGCAGTTAGCTAGCACTGAAATGCGGCTGCCCCCTTCCGTGGAACCTGCAATCTCCACCACGACCGTCTCCACCACTGAGCCTTCATTGTTGTTTTCCTAACTTCATCCCTCTTTGGATATTTATGTTACCAGTCTGACCCTCTGAGCCATTTTTGAGGTTCCTGCATAAAGCTTAAAACAAAAATATCTTCAGCAAAGTAAAAAGGGCGACTTTCACTCCCATCAAAGTGTGAACAGAGTGTATTTTTCTGAAAGCAGTTTTTTAATATGTGGAAGAGATTTTTGGGGCCCTGAGGGGCAAATAAAAAGTGCACCCCATTTTGGGAATTCACACCCTCAAAGCTTTGGTTAACAATTGTCAAATGATTTTCTAGAGATACGATTCCACTTTATGCTCTTCCTATTGGTATATGAAAATGCACATTTTCCTTCCACCCTCCACACACCGTATAATCTGAAAATAATAACTTGATATTCAGAAAATAAAATGTATAGTTATAACTTAACATTTATTTGACAGCTAGGGAAAATGAATAGTTTTCATATGTCTATTGGCCATTTTCATGTGTCCATTTATGAATTTTCTATTTGTCTTTTTCCACTTACATCTTTTCATCCCTTTGGGGTTAGATGTTATTTCGTTATTCAAGTATAAGGGCTCTTCACAAGGAAAGGTCCTTAACACTTTGCAGCCTCATAATTTTTCAATTTGTTTTGTTTGCCACTTGTTTTTTCAATTTTTATAGAACTTTGACAGCATGGAAGTTTCTGGGGTTTGTGTTGATTTGTTGGCTTTTGTTTTAATGGTTGTTATCTATGGAATGCTTGGGAAGGCCTCTCTCACCCCAACTGTAAATGGAAAGATACTGGTTTCCTTCTTCTTTTCCCCTTCTCCCTGCCCATATTTCAGGATTACCATAGACAAATGGCTGGGGCCCCAAGACCACTTCTCTGTGTGTGGTCCTAGAATTAAAAAAGTTCTAGACTCCAACCTAAGTCTGTCCAGCACAACCACTGGGTCATGCTGACATCCCTGGCAGAATTCTGTGGCAGACATTTCAAGAAGGGAAGTAAATCCTTAAGATCTGTGATACTTTGAACTAAAATGCTTTAAAATAGTATTTAGTTCCTGCTCTTTGGGCCTGAATTTCCTTCCCTGCTTAGCATCAAAAGAAGTCAGATAGAATTCATTACCAACTTTTATATGAGTTTCTGAAGCAGGGTGGGGAGATTTATCACTGTGCATACCTTCAAATGTTCGTAGTTGCTAGCGGACTGGGAAGTCAATAAATTAACCCTAATAAGGAATTTCTTTACATCATACTTGAATTTCTCATCTCTCTCTCCTAAGGCAGAAATACTCTATTGGGAATATAACCCATTCGTAAAACAGAATAGTGGTCCCAAACCATGACAAAAAACTCAACCAACTGGGTCTCTGCATCTGCTGTTTCCTTGAGAGAATCAAGTGGTTTGGGGAAGCAGGAAGGGCTTTGAAATCAGGTAGCTATGAAGTTGAATCCCATTTCGGCCACTACCAAGCTGTATGACCATGAGGGAGTCAATTTCTCAGACCTCCATTTTCTGAAATGTGGATATTAATACACATAATATAACTAAAAGCTATTGAACCACCACTCTGTGCAAGGCACTATTTTAAGCACTTTATATGTGTGAACTCATTTAATCCTGACAGTAACTCAAGGAGATGGGTACTATTTTTATCCCCACTTTATAGCTGATAAAACTGAGGCACCAAGAGTATCTTGCCCAGAGTCCTAGAGGAGCAGAATGTGCAAGAACAGGTATTTGGACGGCAGTGTCAATGAGCTTAATTTTTGTGAGTATAAAAATATCCAGGGAAGTGTTTGCTTGATGCATACAGAGAAAGAAGCCACTAAATGTTAGTCCTTTTCTGTCCCTTTGGGTTAGACTCTCTTCTTACCTCGCACGGTTGCAAGCTCCCCATCTTCATGAGCCATGCACTGCATGGCAGTAGCCCCAGCGCATATTGGCATGCTGACCCTCTGCCCCAAAATGGAAGTCGACAGGTCTACTTCAGCAACATTCCGGAGCATCCGTGGATATAGCTTCCATCTAGAATTAAAAAAAAAAAAAAGTTTTAGAATTCTAAAATCATCACCAAAGCTTTGACATTTCATTTTAGTTAGAAAGAGAAAATATCCTTTTATTTCTCCCATTTGGCAAATTACTTTACAAGGTTAAAGAAAAGGGGCATTTTTAATGTTTGTGAAGATGGCAAGTTAGCCATAAGAGAATAACGGATTTCACAAGTTATTGTTCTTAGTGAGGTGTAATTAACGTATGGTAGGATTTGACACATGCATGTGGTTGTGTAAGTGCCAAGACAGTCCAGAACAGATCACCATCTTGAAAAATGTCCCCATTTCCTTTTGCAGTGAAACCAATCCCCTAACCACCGCTGATACTTTTTCTGTCCATATAGTTTTACTTCACAAGAATATACAAAAGGAATCATATATAATGTAGCGTTTTGAGTCCGGCTTCTTTCACTAAAAGCATAGGTGCTTTTGAGATTCACCCATGTAGCCAATTCGTACGTCATCGGTTCTTCTTGGTGGATGAATAGTATTCCGCTGTACAGAGGTCCCCCAGTCTGTTTGCCCGTTCCCCAGCTAAGAGACATTTGCAACATTTCCAGTTTGAAGCAATTATGAATAAAGCCACTATAAACACTCACTTAAATGTTTTTGTGTGAACATAGCTTTCATTTCACTTCCTCCAAGTCATTCTGAAGATGGTATACAAAAACATGGAAGGCAGATATACTATGTCCAGTTG